AGAGCTGCACTCTTCGCCTCCCCTAAATTCACACACAAATGCAATCGGTTCTAAGCCTTGATTTTATGCTTCCTTCGTTGGTAACAAACTACAGTTTTTAATGCCCTTTTACCGCTTTGATAAACTTCATTACTTACCTGTAGAAATATATTTTTTTTTATGGCTGATACAAAAATGAAAGATACGGAAGTCAATAAGGTTTATAAAGGCGCCAAAATGTATGCAAATGTATACAAAAGAACTAAATCTTTACTCCTAATAAATCCATCGGACTTCCGGATTATAATTTATACTGCAATTAGACACCGTGATCAATGATTTCAAAAACCTAGTGATATCTGTAGTACCCCCAATTATAATCAATTTATATATGATAAAAACGTGGATAACTAATTTTTTCTTTTTTTTAATTAAATTTATACTTCTCATGAAGTTTATTCAAGCTTTTCGTTGCATTTTATAAAATCTGACCTTTCACTGCAGCTGCATTTTTGTTGCCAATTGTTATTGCACTTTGTTCACTTCTCGCGGCAAGTGCAAAGCATAAAATAAGTACGAGGATTGCCACCCCATTGTACTCACAACGCGGCCGCGTTTCACCTGCAGATGCAGTCGCTTTTTAGCTACAACGGTTGCAACAACAGTTTCCACCGAACTGTTTTTCACTTTGCTTTTGTGCGAGTGGCACAAAAAAAAATAACATAGAATTTTCAACGGAAACGCGAAAATTTTGTAATAGCGCACACGGGGCGTATGAGTGCTAGCAGTTGCCATGACGACATTCAGAGACGTAATATGCAAATGATTCGGGAACAATAGACTGGAAAGATCTATGTGCTGCTCAGATATATTCGGATTAGGGTCAGCCTGGAGATTTTTTAAACATTATTGTGGAAAGACGTGGAGGGATCATATGGGTGATCACTTTTAAATGTTATGTATTTTCGAAAACAAGGGTACTTTAACAACGAGCGAAAGCTATGAAAGAAAAATACTTTTTAATCATCCATCGAAATTTAAAAACCAATGCACAGCTTAACTGGCCATAATCCCCAATTTCGACTATAAAACTAAGCCTGTTATTACCTGATTCATAACACGCCCTTTGTCAATTTTTTGGTGTCGAACAAACAAATAGCCTGCAACCCTATTCAAATACCAAGCTCACATACATCCCATTTATATAGGATACACATATCACTTATGTATATCGCTTTCAATATTTCATATATACGACTGGGTATTTGTTGTGAGCTGTTACGCTACCCAACCCTTTGATCAGCCAGCCGACGGCTAAAACCGTGGGTGGTAACTAATTTGAAACTGTCCCCAAACTGTGTCCTACCCACACCCATTCTATCCACTGATTTTTTCTATATTCTCAATTTATTTTTTAGGTTGGTGCACTGCATCCTCCATCACGTGGAATGCAGCTTCCATGTTTGTGCCGTTCACTTTTTGTAATTGCTTTGACCAGCGGATATATTATTTTATTGTACGAGTTTTTTCGGGCTATTATATATATATTCTATGGCGCAGTACATGCATTTAATGCATTCGAGGGTTGCAGCTGAATTTTTAGCCCAAAATGGAATGTCCCTATGTGAAAAAAATATCCGGGTTCCATTGGAAACTGGAAGTACTGTGAGCTAGGTTTCCATTGCCCCCTTCAGGTTCTCCTAACAGTCTTTATTATAGTTTTTTCTGGAATATGAAAACTACAAATTTCTAGACAATGTTCTAGACAAGCTGTGACAATCAACTGTGCTCACAGCTGAGGTGGAACAACTCGGGCAACTTCTTTTAATTTCTTTTGCCAATCAAGTCCCTTGCAGACCCTTTACCATATCTTTCGCCATTGAAGAGCCAAGCCACATGTACCTACACATTTTCCATTAATTAAAAGGAAACTTGAATTGGGTGGGAGACAGTGACCAGGACAAAGACTTGCAACATTTTTCGAAGTCCAAGGCTGAGACGGAACCGGAACAACCCCGTCGGGAGTCTTTGTGACTGACTGAGGACCAAAGTTCGGATTCTACTTATGGATTCGAGCGTGAGCTTCTCATGCACGACTTAAGCTCATCCCAGGCAACCTTGACTTTGCCAGCAGCCGCAGGCTATTCCTTCTTGGCAAGTAATTTGTTTTGGGCCTGACAGCAGCCCACGAGGCGTATGAGTAACACCTGCCAGGCAGAGAAACATACACACAGGAGGAGTGGCCATAAATCCTAGCATTTACTTCCATTGCTCGTCTCAAAAGTTGCTTTTGAAGTCGCTCCCCACACGAATTTGTAACCCTTTTTCGGGAGAAGGCAGGAAGCTCCTCTAAATATCAGAAATATGTGGGCTTGTGGCATCTTAGTAGTCAAGGCATAGCAAAGGGGGCGGCAGAGTTCAATGCAGAAAAGGCAGCCCCCAAAACTAACAATCCGATGAGGTGACACGAGGAGGTAGAGGATAAACATGTGCTGTTGCTGGCTGCCAGCCTAAAAGCAGACTTTGACTTCGACTGCGTCTGGAGCACGGGCAGAGTCACAGGCAGAGTCACAGGCAGAGTCACAGGCAGAGTCACAGGCACACCACTACACAATGCCGGCAACCTCTAAGCACACGCATAATGAATTACCACCCAGTCAGGAAGCGTCCTTCGTCCTTTTGGCCCTTCCCTTTCCTTTTCTGCCCTACCACCAACTGCCGATGACATATTTCTCCAGACAGAGCCTGCTACGCTACTCCCCTTCCTGCCTGCGGAGCAGCGCCTAAAAGGCAGCTAAGAAAATTTGCGTTTAACTCATAAGTGCGTGAAAGGGTTGCCAGGACCTGGGTCCCCAGACCATCCCCCCGCCTCTATCATCTACCCTCTACAGCCTACCACCTACCACCTACCACCTACCACCTACCACCTCCACAGACCGAACAACATCCCTGCTTGGGGTTGCCTCTGTGCACTGTCAAGGAAATTGTAGTTTAAATGAAATGGAAGTTGCTTTTATCAACGACGAAGAAGGTGGTCTGGGGGCTTAGGGTTTTGGATTGGAAATGGGAATAGTGTGTGTGAGCTTTCTTAGAAGTTCTCCCCCGTGTGTGTATATGTGTGTATATAAATTAAAATGCCTAAACATATGCATTAGTTTTTGTCTCAGTCTCACACCCCCACACACAAGTGTGTGCTTGGGGGCCTGGGGTAACTCCAAAGTTTTTGTGGTTACGACATCGGTTTTCGGGGGAGGTGCGAGCAAGGATGCTTGAGACAAGCCCTGCCATTGGGTGGTTCTTAGGGAACGAGACCGAGATTGAGAACGAGAATGAGGCAAACTGTCAGTCTCGAGTCGGTCTCGAGCTGTGGCCTGACAACTTAGTCTAATGAGAATTCAAATTCGAAACCCAACTACGCAATCGTGCTGAAGAAATTAAAAGAAATTGCACATGATGTGGTGCTGCTGTGTGGGTGTGCCACTGTATTGAGCCGTATGATATGTATATATAAACATGCAAGGCTGTAGTAAGAAATCAAATATTTGTTTCACTTTCTGCCAATAGACTAGAAAATATTTGTGCAAACTCAACTCGAAAGCCAAAGAGTAAAGTGAAAATTGTACAAGGACTACAGCAGGCTGTAGGAAAAAGTAGGGTCTCATGGTAATTAACTTATGAATAAGGAAGGTACAGCATGCTTTGCAGGTGAAGGTACAGTTGGAGCAGATACCGGAATACACTGGAAAAATAATTGAAGCTTAAAATTTGGGGCAACTTTGAATTCAGTGTTGTCCCCTACGAACGTTACCCAAATCATTTCCTAGAGCTACCCACCCATATGCCCCAGAGATACAGCAAATTAATGTTAATTAAGACTTGGAGTCCATTCACGTTTAAAGGGAAAAAGAAGGAAGCCTCAATCTCGATGGCCATCCACACGGAACACAGCTTCATTTGTGCTGCTATTTCCAGTCTCATTCTCAGTCTCGGTCCCAATCCCCAATCTGAAAACGCCCCACCTTAGGAGTGTCCTTCAACCACAAAACCAAAGGAGTGTGCGGAGGAAAAAAGCTTGTGTGCCGGACGACCAACGTCTTGGGCGAAATGTTTCATTAGAGCCATGTTGGCCGCAAAGGAGCGGAATGGGAACCCGGAGCCCGGCCAGTCAGTCCCTTAAAGTGACCCAACCCTCAACCCTCCAACTCGACTAATTTCCAGTGCACAAAAGACGGACACTGAAAAAAGGCAACCCCAAGAATGGACGGCCAGGAAAAAGGAGCAGATTGAGGGTGAACCGGACCTCGAACTGGCCTGAAGATGAAAGTCCGTAAAACTTTCCCCTTGAAGCCCATGCTGGGGCTTGGGCTGCTTTCTTTGACGTTACGTCTTTTTTGCATTCTTTTCAATGGTCTAACGAACTTCCAACTGGTTCTACTTCTAATCATTGGGATTTGGCATATCGAACGGAGTCCCGAAAACTTTGTGCGGTCTGTAAAAAGTTCGTTCGTCGCTTCCGCAAAAAATTTAAAAAAGGTTGAACCATTTAATAAACACAACGTGAAAATTCACTTATGAAAAATGATTTAAAAGGTCGATTAATACAAAGTACGCCGATTTTACAAACTGTTGTTATTCTTATTTCCATGAATGTAGAAGAAAAAAACTAATTGTTCAAAGATTATTAAATTTGAAATCAATTTCCCTTAATAGCTTGAAATACAAAGTTCTAATGCTTATTAAAGAATGATATAATTTTTGGGTGAAACTGATTTTTCAATGTTTATTTACAAATGTAGTTTTTCTCTAGATGAGCATAAAAATAATAATAATAACTGTTACTGTGCAACTTGTAACTAAATGATGACTCAAAAAAAGGCATAACCAACGAGAAATTAAATAACTGTATAGTTAAAAAATTATTCAAAAATGTATTAATAATTTAAAATAAACGTATTCCTATTCAAGAATGAGTGTTTTACAAATAAACATTATGCTCATATGTGGCTTATTTTTCTTTGCAGGAAACAATTCCGGCAACACCGGTGGTGAGCACCGACTCTTCCAGCGTGGTTGGTGTTGGGGGCGTCGCCGGAGGAGGGGGCGTGGCTGGCGCTGGAGGTGGCGGCAGCGGAGTGGGTGGCACCGGCGGACTCCTGGGAGAGGTGGTCAGTGGACTGGGCGGCGGCCTGGTCAGCGAATCGGATGCGTATGCCGGCCTGATGAAGGACGCCGACAAGCTCAAGCTGATGCTGCTGGCCTGGAACTACCAGAATTCGACGGCGGTCCGCAACGGGACCGAGGGTCCGGACTTGAGCGTGGTGGGCGGTCTGTGGGCGCAGTACCAGAACGCCCTGGCCCAGAACGCGGCTGCGGCGGCGGCGGCCAGTGGCAAGATGGACAGCTCGTTGTCGCCGGTTCCACGGCAGGATGCCCACTCGCCCATGGAGACGCAGGACGAGACGAACTCGTCGGGCCAAAAGGAGGAGGACGAGGTCTCCGAGGACGACTCCGACGACAAGCTGGACGAGAAGCTGGCCACCACACACGATCCCGAGCGGCTCAAGGCCTTCAATGTGAGTAAAGCGTGAGCTGTGAGTTAAGCGGCGAATGTAAAGCCAAGCGTTGCCAAAGATTCGCCAGACATCTGGTTACGGTCTCATATATGGGCTTACTATAATGAACCTTCGCCTCTTTCAGATGTTCGTGCGACTGTTTGTCGATGAGAATCTCGATCGCATCATACCCATCTCGAAGCAGCCCAAGGAGAAGATCCAGGCCATAATCGACTCTTGTGCCCGGCAGTTTCCCGAGTTCAGCGACCGATCCCGCAAACGCATCCGCACCTATCTCAAGTCGTGCCGTCGCAACAAGAAGACCCGCGATGGATGGGAAAATACGGTGAGTTAAATGTTAAGAATTATATTTTTTTAAGCTATGATTAAACGGAAATTTTAAAAAAAAAAATAATTTTGCAACCACATTGTTAACCTATAAATGAACACCTTTGTTCAGGAATTCACAACAATTTTTCGTTAGCATTACTTGTCTCCCGTGACAATAACATATTTTTTCATTGGAATTACGTTTGCATTATTTTTTTTCTAATGGTAATGAAAATTGTGTTTATTAGCATTCCTTTTTTTATTTTTAACAAAATAAGTTATGTATTATAAAAGTTGTTTGTTACTCACAACTCTGTCCTTCTGGAATGATTTCAATGCACCAAAGCGCAAAGAAAAAGTAGGACCCTAAAATTTGTTTAGAAACTTTGGACTGCCTAGTTTACATACCTGAAATTTGCACTAACCCAACCACTGGGCTTTTGTCCTACTTTTGCAGACCCGACCCACGCCCGCCCATCTGACGTCCGTGCAGGCGGAGCAAATCCTGGCCATCGCCTGCGAGAACGAGTCGATGAACGCCAAGCGGATGCGCATCGGCCTGGAGCCCATTACGCATGCAGTTCCCGCTCCTGGAAGTGCTGTGGCCGCAGCAGCAGCGGCAGCGGCGGCCGCAGCGGTGGTGGCTGCCACCAGTTCGGGCGCCGGCGGCACCAGCACCACTTCCGCCGGCAATGCCACTGTGACCTGCGGCGTGGGCGATGCCGCCGGCCTGACCAGCGTGGCGGCCGCCGCTCTGCCCTTCGTCAGCGCCGTCGGCTTTGCCCGCTCCACGCCCAACTCGGAGCACGCTGACGTGCTGCCCTTTGGCGCAGCGGGCACTGTGGGCGGCAGCGGGGGCGGTGGTGCCGCCGGCGGGGGCGGGGGCGGCATGAGCTCGGCGCGCAGCTCTCCCCTGGCTCTCAGCTCGAATGCCAGTGTGAGCGGCGGCGCCAGCGTCACCGGATTGACCCTGGCCAATGGAGCAGGTGCCTCCAACGGAGCCGGGCTCCCGGCCAGCAGTCCCTACACCACGGACTTCAGCTCCCCCTCGACGGCCTCACCTTTTGTGGCTGCGGCTGCGGCCGTTGCCGCCGGCCGGGCTCCCAGCTATCCGGGCTATTTTCCCGGAGTAGCTGGCCTAGGAAATGGTGAGTAAAATTATTTCGAAAAACAACCAATTTTAGGTGTGGTCGCTGTCGGAAACTGGTTTACCTAGGCAGAAAATATGGTTTCTTATTTATCTTATCTTAGAAAGTGTAAGACTATGATGGCACTAGCTTACAAAATTAAATCGACAATAAATCATTAGATGTCTTGAAACTATTGCAAAGAAAATTAGAGAAATTTAATAAGACATTTTTTTTAACTTAGCATTTGTATGCCCAGGTTTAATTTTTTGTTTAATATTCGAATCCATTTGAAGCGGACTACAATACTAAAAAAAATGCTGAGTTTTATTTATATTTTAATATAAATCGTTAATTTCCAGTTTAATTTAAAGTATATTTGAGAAATTATTTAAATTCTATTGTTGCTTCTAATTCTAGTTACGCCCACCGATCTCTCGATGAAGCCGACCAGCCTGTCCGGCGGCAACATGGTCAGCAACAACAACAGCAACAGCTCCGTGGCCGGCAACATCAATTCGCAGCTGAGTGCCGCCAATTTGGCCAGCCTGAGCAATGCGAACAACAACAACGCACTGGTGACCGCCACCCAGCAGCTGCAGCAGCTCCAGCAGCAACAACAGCAGCAGCAACAGCAGCAGCAGCAACAGCAGCAGCAGCAACAACAGCAGCAACAGCAACAACTCCTGGTGGCCGGTGGTGGGGGATGGACGGCCAGTCTGTCCGAGCGCCGCCCATTCTGCCGCACAAGCTGAGCGCCAACGAGGTGACCGCCGCCCGGCAGGTGATATCCGCTTACCGCGAAAGCGCGGCATTCCTGCTCCGTACCGCCGATCAGGTGGAGCAGCTGCTCGTCCAGCAGCAGTAGGCGTGACGTGGGGCGAGGCCCGAGCGGGGTTGTTCCTATTTTAAATTAAATTTAAAATGAATTACACACACTCCAGAAAACGGAAACAGAAACAGAAACAAAAACAGAATCGAAACACACAAGCCAAAACTAAGCGAAAATAGTCAAAACCATATAGCGCAAAACAGAAACGAATTAAAACTGGCTCACAGGATGCAAGGCAGAACCATATGTAGCTAAAGAAGTTCGTTCAAACAAAACATTTTAAGTGTTTTTTCCTCCAACTACGTACAGCATATTTAAAAATAGAACTTATCGATAAACAAAAACCAAAACCAAAAGAAATATTGCAAATATCACAACAGTAAAATAGTAGAGCTGCCTAAGTTAGCTGACTTGGTTCTAAACTAAATTCCATGTAAACTTCACAATGTCGGTTTCCATAGGCATAACAAAAATATCCACTGTAAGGATGGTTTCAATGGATTCCCTCAAATTTGTTCTTCTATTTCTCTTCAAACTTATTCCTTCGAAATGATCAACACTAGATACCATTCAGAAAGCACGGCGGCTCTAATAAAAACAAAAAACCAAGCAGCAGTTCAACGTACTACAGTGTCTACTAAAAGTATACCTACAATAGCCATACACAAACACTCGCATTGATTTTGTTTCAACTTTTTATTATCGCATATTTTTGGGCTCTCGTCACTAGGAGAGCCGCAGATTCCGGGCCCGTTTTTAAAGTGCGCGATTTGTTAAAACAAATTTAAATATAATAAATAAGTTGAAGTATTGTTGTAAATTTTAAGCAAATGGAAAAAAGGAAAAAACTAAAAAAAAATCGTAAAACTATGAGAAAACACAGGGTGATACTTTGAAAAATTATTACAATGCATAAGCTAAAAAATTATAAAAGAAAATGTAAAAAAAATTTATGGAAACGAAGTAAGGCATAGATGTTGGTAAATGTGTATTTAACGTTTAGAAATTACATTTGTATACTGTTTCCAGGATTTATTGTTCTTGTTTGCTATCAATTGAGTTTTATATCTTATTTCCTTTTTATTAAGTGTATATAATTTTCAAGTTTTTATACTGAGACATTTTAAATTCAACTGTTGCTTTTGACTCACATTCGATTATTAAATAGATACGGAATAAAATATTTAAATACAAAATAGCCATTCATGTTTTTTGCAAATATAAATGTGCATGTAAAAATAAGAAAACACTTACACGAAAACACATAGAAACACATGGAACATCGGTATGTATGAGTGTGCAGAACGAAATGGAGAACCGCTAAGCAAGCAAATTATAGAATTTAATTATATAAATTAATTGATAAAATTATTTAACCACAAATAATTATTGACTAAACCTAAATAAATACTCCAAACGAACTTGATAAGCGGCTTGCAAGGCAGGAGAAATATTTATACGGAATACTTAAATATAATGTAATGTGTGGCATTTGCATTGAAGAGTAAACTAATTAAACTAACACGAGGGCAACACAAGTGAAACAAGACATTTTAAAACTCGAATTAATAAAGAATTTATGAGAATTATATGTACATTAAAAATTGGGAGTTTTTTCTTTGGGTTAAACAAGGTTAACTTATTATTTTAAATTCTAACTTCTTGTCTATGCACGACGTTTTTAATTTGAATTCAAGATTTGAATAGCGGTGCCACAAAATATGCCCATCGTCTGCATTTCGCTCATTTACCCATACCGCCTTTTAAAAGTGGCAACAAAAACCAATAATTTTTCGACCAACTCAAAATGGCTGGGAAATACGTGCTAGCGCCCTCTGCCGTGTGTTTGCTACACTACGAACTGGCTCCATCTGTGCGTTGTATTTCTTTTTACAAAGTCCAGCTGCTCGTCGTTAGATGTCGCCCAAAAATATTTTGCTCTACAAAATTTCGGTTGCGAAAAAATTAATAAAAAGTGAGAAAATGTACCACTTTTTAAAGTTATAGTTACTAAAGATTTTTTTTTTTTTATTATTTGACATTGTTTGACAAATCGAAATATAAAAACAGTTGTTGCAGAATTGGAGTCCTCAACTATCAGTTGAAGAATATGTTATGTTATTTTCCAAACAAATTTCCGAAAGGAAGAGGAAGCCCTGGTGGGGGGCGAGGAAATGCAGGAATCGGGGGTGGAAGCGGAATGGGTAATATAGCAATCACACTAGAATCAGTTTCAGGCAACGCTCCAAGAAAGGGAAATGGTGGCAAAGGTATCGGAGGTGGAAGTGGAAAGGCTGGGGGCCCATATACTTCTTGGTGATAATGATGATGGTGGTGGGCTTGAGAGTTTGTGGTAGCGCTAGTGGTCGTTGTTAATTCCTTGGTGGTTGTGGATGCAATTGTGGTTGTTGGAGCTAAAGTTGTCGTTGTAGTTTCCTCAGTGGTTGTAGAAGTGCTAGTGGTCGTTGGAACTATAGTTGTCGTTGTAGTTTCCTCAGTGCTTGTAGAAGTACTTGTGGTTGTTGGAGCTAAAGTTGTCGTTGTAGTTCCCTGAGTGGTTGTAGAAGTGCTTGTGGTTGTTGGAGCTAAAGTTGTTGTTGTAGTCTCCTCAGTGGTTGTAGAAGTGCTTGTGGTTGTCGGAGCTAAAGTTGTCGTTGTAGTTTCCTCAGTGGTTGTAGAAGTACTTGTGGTTGTTGGAGCTATAGTTGTCGTTGTAGTTTCCTCAGTGGTTGTAGAAGTGCTTGTGGTTGTTGGAACTATAGTTGTCGTTGTAGTTTCCTCAGTGGTTGTAGAAGTGCTTGTGGATGTTGGAACTATAGTTGTCGTTGTAGTTTCCTCAGTGGTTGTAGAAGCACTTGTGGTTGCTGGAGCTAAAGTTGTCGTTGTAGTTTCCTCAGTGGTTGTAGAAGTGCTTGTAGTTGTTGGAGCTAAGGTTGTCGTTGTAGTTCCCTGAGTGGTTGTAGAAGTGCTTGTGGTTGTTGGAGCAAAAGTTGTTGTTGTAGTCTCCTCAGCGGTTGTAGAAGTGCTTGTGGTTGTCGGAGCTATAGTTGTCGTTGATATTTCTTCAGTGGTTGTGGGAGCTAAGGTAGTTGTCGTTACTTCTTTGGTGGTCGTCGGAGCGATTGTAGTTGATGTTGTGGTTGTTGTTGGGGCAGTGGTAGTAGTAGGTTGTGTTGTTGTCCTACATCTGGGCAAATCCGGAAATAGTATACAAATAATTGATTCAGTTGAAGTGCTTGTGGTTGTTGGCGCTAAAGTTGTCGTTGTAGTTTCCGTATTGGTTGTAGAAGAAGTTGTGGTTGTTGGAGCTAAAGTTGTCGTTGTAGTTTCCTCAGTGCTTGAGGTTGTTGGAGCTAAAGTTGTCGTTGTAGTTTCCTCAGTGCTTGTAGAAGTACTTGTGGTTGTTGGAGCTAAAGTTGTCGTTGTAGTTCCCTCAGTGGTTGTAGAAGTGCTTGTGGTTGTTGGAGCTAAAGCTGTCGTTGAAGTTTCCTCAGTGGTTGTAGAAGTGCTTGAGGTTGTTGGAACTATAGTTGTCGTTGTAGTTTCCAATGTGGTTGTAGAAGTGCTTGTGGTTGTTGGAGCTATAGTTGTCGTTGATATTTCTTTGGTGGTTGTGGGAGCTAAGGTGGTTGTCGTTACTGTATTGGTGGTCGTCGGGGCGATTGAAGTTGATGTTGTGATAGTTGTTGAGGCACTGGTAGTTGTAGGTTGTGTTGTTGTTCTACATATTGGCAATTCCGGAAAAAGTATACATATTATTGATTCAGTTGAAGTGCTTATGGTTGTTGGAGCTAAAGTTGTCGTTGTAGTTCCCTCAGTGGTTGTAGAAGTGCTTGTGGTTGTTGGAGCTATAGTTGTCGTTGTAGTTTCCAATGTGGTTGTAGAAGTGCTTGTGGTTGTTGGAGCTATAGTTGTCGTTGATATTTCTTTGGTGGTTGTGGGAGCTAAGGTGGTTGTCGTTACTGTATTGGTGGTCGTCGGGGCGATTGAAGTTGATGTTGTGATAGTTGTTGAGGCACTGGTAGTTGTAGGTTGTGTTGTTGTTCTACATATTGGCAATTCCGGAAAAAGTATACATATTATTGATTCAGTTGAAGTGCTTATGGTTGTTGGAGCTAAAGTTGTCGTTGTAGTTCCCTCAGTGGTTGTAGAAGTACTTGTTGGAGCTAAAGTTGTTGTTGTAGGTTCCTCAGTGGTTGTAAAAGTGCTTGTGGTTGTTGGAGCTAAAGTTGTCGTTGTAGTTTCCAATGTGGTTGTAGAAGTGCTTGTGGTTGTTGGAGCTATAGTTGTCGTTGATATTTCTTTGGTGGTTGTGGGAGCTAAGGTGGTTGTCGTTACTGTATTGGTGGTCGTCGGGGCGATTGAAGTTGATGTTGTGATAGTTGTTGAGGCACTGGTAGTTGTAGGTTGTGTTGTTGTTCTACATATTGGCAATTCCGGAAAAAGTATACATATTATTGATTCAGTTGAAGTGCTTATGGTTGTTGGAGCTAAAGTTGTCGTTGTAGTTCCCTCAGTGGTTGTAGAAGTGCTTGTGGTTGTTGGAGCTATAGTTGTCGTTGATATTTTTTCAGTGGTTGTGGGTGCTAAGGTGGTTGTCGTTAATTCTTCGGTGGTCGGCGGAGCGATTGTGGTTGACGTAGTGGTTGTTCTTGTGGTTGCTGTTGAGGCTGTGGTAGTAGTAGCTTGTGTTGTTGTCCGACATATTGGTAATTCCGGAAAAAGTATACATGTTATTGATTCAGTTGTAGTTGAAACTGTAACAGGTGTTGTGCTTTGAGCTGCAGAAAAGGTTATTGTAAGTGCAGCCCACATGCCAAGAGCCAATAAGTATCGGCTGATCTAAAATAATTAAAATACTGAGCAAATATGTACACACAGCGAAGTCATTCTTACCATCTTGAGCTCTTTTTGTGCACTGAAACGTTGAGTTCCGGGTGAACTATTTATGTAGAAACTGGTATTCATTTTACTTTGTTGGGGCTTCGATAGCCTAATGGCAGTTCATCCACCCTTGTCAAATGCAAGCAATTAGTAATATCAGTGCAGAGAGGAATGTCAAACGATAACACCATCGTTCTCTGGTAGACACTCAAATGGAAATGGACGGAACTTTAAGTTTATGTTTGTATTTATTTAATACAATTAGTATAGAATACTCATGTTTAATCAAACAATTTTGTAACTACCCTTTTACATGTAAAATAAATTAAACAAATTGCCAAAATATGCTTAACTATATTTTATTTATTTTACAGAATTTTGTAAATTAATTTGCATTGGATTTAATGCCAAAAATAAATTATATGTGAACTTAGCTTAGATCCCAATCAGATTTCACTTCTCTTGGTTTTTTTATACATTCTCTGCTCCTTTCTTAAATTGAACTATTTGTAATGACTGTTTTATGAAGGCGAAAAAGAAAAAATACAGAAAAGTTTATGGAAGCACCAAATCAATGCGTAATCACTTACACTCGATGGATTCGCACCAGTTCTATAAAGAATTGTAATTTCTTAAGTCCAGTCCTGGACTTTGGCAAGATTTCTCTAACAATTTTGGATGTGATTGATGAAACTCCTCCTCGCTTAAACTAATCTTAAGGCTTAAACAAAAACTGCTTGAAGAAGGGCCGCTCAGTCCCCCGCAGCTCTAATCTCTTCACGCTAAAACCCCATCCAGGGCATGGATCACTCCATTGGTGGCTGGGATATTCGATGTGACCATCTGGGCATCGTTCACCTTGATCTTGCCGGCGGACGTTTTCTGCAGGATAACGGTTTTGCCCGTAGACAGCGAGTCCTTAACCTGGTAGAAACGCATGCCGGCGGAGAAAAGTGCTCCGGGAACTATGTGCTTCATGGCGAACTGCTCGGCGGCCTCTTTGTCGTTGTAGAGCTTTTCCAGAGTGTCCGAATCCAGTTCGCTAAAGCTCTTGTCCACAGGAGCGAAAACCGTGTAGGTCTTGACACCTATAAAGTTTCAAATTTTACTATCTTTTCCTTCTTTGGAAGTACTTTTATTTCTTACCCTTGCTCTGCAGCTTCTCGGACAGTCCAGAGGTGTACAAAATCTTGAGGAAATTGCTGAAGCGACCTTCGCGATCAGACTGCAGGGTTTGCAGAATATCTCCAACGGGCAGTGGGAACATCACGCGATCGACGGCGTGGGCTACTCCCTGGGGGATCTTAATGTCCTTCTTGTTCAGCACAACCATGGCTCCATTGATGGTGGTGAGCTGCAAATGGCGTACATTACTTAAAGTAAAAACCATTATCGCCGCATATCTTACAGTCACATCGTTCCACTCCTGGTCATGCATGTTGTACTGATTAACGCGCAACTGGGTTCCGGCTAGAGAAACGCCAGTCATCTCGTCTTGCAAAGTGGCTATCTCAAAGGCTCCGGGGATCACATGGTGGAGCAGCAGCTATGCAGAAAAATTATAGTGTTCATGTTAAAAATATTAATAATAATTTGTATTTAATTTTTATTTAAGGAATATTAATATTAATATTTATTGAATTATTAAACACAAATCATTTTGTTTTTTTTATGTCGGTACTTTAACTTTAAATTGACTGAATCGTTTGATTATCTCTTCCAACTTAAGGGCTAGCTTTATTTTATTTTCACTATGAAATACAGTTTAAAAACTTAAGATATGTTTGAAAAAAATCATTGTTTCAACTTACCCCGCTCAGTAATCTGGGATTTGACTGGAACTTCTCCTCGGCCCTTTCAGGTCCTCCCAACTGCACCAGTAGATTCTTGAAGGCCTTGTCGGTGGGCACAAAGATGGTGTAAGGGCCGGTCTCGTTGAGAATGCTGTCCAGGCCCGACTGCCTCAGATATTTGGCCATGGCGAAGAGTCCGTTGGTCTTGAGGATCTGCAGCAGATCCTCGCTGGGATTGGACAGTACAGATCCAGTTGACGGACTGGCCTGTGCCGCCTTCTCGGTGTTCTCCGTCTCCTGGACAAGGGCATCGGCATATTGGGGCACTGGCGGCAGCAACTCAGGAGTGTTGGCCAAATCGGATAGCCGTTCGGTCACCACCGGCAAGTGGGTGGACACACCTTCCAGATATGGAGAAACTGTCACCGTGGATCCACCGTAAATGGGAGCTGGAGTGGTGCGGATCAGACTAGCGGCATTTGCACGGCTGGTGCTGCTCTCAAAAATCAAATTGTGGCGCGATGTGGTTGGTGTGCTAGTAGTGGTTGTGGTTGTTGTCGAAGTCCTCGATGGATGATATTGCCTGTGGTTGCTGGGTGTTCCGCGGGAAACAAATGGTGTGGGAGTAGTGGTTGTTGTGGTGGTGGTTGTAGAAGTGGTCGTTGGCGCACGGGTGGTCTGAATAATCTTGCCGCTCTTGATCTCAACCAGCTCATCGTTGGGCAAAGTCAAACGTGAAACTGAAGGCGGCAGCTTAATCTCACCGCTCCTAATCCTCTCCAGAATACTTTCCACCTCCGAACCAGTTTGCTTGGTCTCCTTCTCACCGTTAGCCTTGACTCCTTGAATCTTGAAGCTGCCATCGGCCTGCTCCTCGAGATACACATAGGTGGCCTTCTTTTTGGGCGGCAGAGTGGGTGGCGGTGCAGCGGTGGCCGTTGCCTGTGATTTGGAGGTCAAGCCCTCGATCTCATAGCCATCGGGAATGAGTCCGCGCTTGGCCAGCTCTTCCAGCGATGGTGGCTCATCCGAATCGGAGGTTATGACAGCGGAACTGGCAATGCTGTTTGCCCCACTGCTGATGCCCTGAATGTCACCTGCTCCACCGCCGTAGAGGGCGGCCAAGCTGGAGAGGTCCACGCCACCGGGCAGCGAACCACTGGGCAGTGTGTCCGACTCCTGGGGATCGGGTGATCGCAGGATCTGCACCTTTCCGCCACCAGGCAGCTCAAGATCCTTACTCTTGGTGGGAGCCACATCGGTCAAACTGAGCTTGGCATCGCCACCCAGGGCCTGTTGGGCCAACAGTGTCTGCAGCTGCTCCTGCGAGTAGGCCTTCTGACCCTGAACCAAATTGGGATCCGTGGTGCGGATCACCTGAACCCGCTGTCCATTGGGCAGTACCAAGTCCATCTCGTCGTATGTCTTGTTGCCAGTCAGTGGTTGTTGTGGTGCCTCGGACAAGGCTGCCTTCAGCTGCTTGAGCAGATCATCTCGGGCAATCGTCTTCACCGGCTTCTTGCCCGACTTCTGACTGGGATATTTTCCCAATTCCGATTTCACCTGCGCAAAGATATTCTTCTTGGGCGTGGTGGTGGCCTCAGTAGTTGTGGTTGTTGTCGTGGTGGTCGTTGTCGTCGTCGGGTGCTCCTTGTAATACTGCTGCAGGGCACTGTTGAACTGATTGTACTCCGTGGGATGGGCCACTGGTCGGCCACGTGCCGGTGCCGCCACATAGGGAGAGTTCTGGTAGTTGCCATTGTGCTGGGTCACAATTGTGGGCAGAATGTGCTGCTTGATCTGGTGCTGCTTGACCAGGAACTCTTCGTGTTGCTGACGCACTTTATGCTGTGATTTCTCATACTGTTTGGCCACAAACTGCTCGTGCTTTTGGATCAGTTTTTGTTTGTACTCCTGGTCAGCTGGTTGGGCTTGCGGTTGAACGGGCGAAGGGGCATTTACAAATTGGTGCTGGAATTGGGGCTGTTGTTGCTGCTGCGGTTGCTGCTGCAGTTGCTGCTGCGGTTGCTGCTGGAAGGTTCCCCTGGTGGGCTCCGGGAAGGGTGTGGCCTGCACATTGCTGAAGATCTGCGGCACCGGCAGTCCCAACTGCGGAGTCAGCTGATATTGCTGCTGGCTGGACTGCGGCTGGTAGTTAAACTGGCTTTGCTGCTGCTGCGGAATGGTCTGGAAAGTGGGCACTGGCGCCTGGCTGGGCAGCTTTTGTGTAGTCTGGGGCAGAACTTGGGGTCCGAATTGCTGTGGTTGCTGGAAGGCAAACTGCTGCTGCTGTTGCTGCTGCTGATGCAATTGCTGTTGCTGGTAGGTTTCCGGCGAGGGCTGAGGGGGAAAAGCCGTGGATTGCAATCGGGAATCTAAAGAAGAGATAGTCTTACAGGTTGAAGATCAAGAAAGATTTGGAGTTCTGCTTACCGAATTGCTTGTGGCGCTGTTGCTGGGGATGTTGCTGTTGCTGTTGATGTTGCTGCTGGGAGCCAGCAAAGTTGCGCAAGTCCAAGAAGTTTTGGTGATGCAAATCTATACCAGCGGCGGATGAGGGCAACTGCTGTTGCTGCTGCGGGAATTGGGGAGCCGTCTGCAATTGGTTTTGGGTCGAGCGTTGGAACTGCTGATTGTTGTGGGGCTGCTGTTGCTGCTGCAGCGGCTGATGTTGCTGCTGCTGTGGGAACTGCCCGAAGCGATGTTGCTGCGGGAGCTGTTGGTGATGCAGATGCGTGTGTTGCTGGTGGCCACGGTGGGGAATTGGCAGCTCCACTCCCGCCTGGACAAAGCTTTGCTGATTGTACTGCTGCACGTTCAGCTGGCGGCGCTGCGAGTTGTGAAAGGGCGGCTGCAATGAGAAGACAACAAGTGAGCTACAACTTTCCAAGGCGATCATTGCATCATCCCGACCAGAGCCGGGAAAACCAGCCCCAGCTCGAGATTCCTCAACGGTTCAGAAAGATAAGTCAAACATTGAGCGAACGCTCCTAAAACAGACGTGAACCAGTTTCTCAGGCTGCTGTAATAGCAATCTCCGCTCCATTTTTGCAGGCTAAACTAGAGTGTGTGTCTGGTTTGGTTTTGGTCTTTTCGGTCCTTATTGGCGGCCAGTCGGTCAAGTTGAAGTCCATAAAAAGTGGCAAACTTGTTTCAATTACAAAGAGCTACATATTACGGTAGACGAAAGCAAAAGGTAAAAGTGCAGTAAGCTTAGCTATTTTTAATTTAAATGATACCGATCTCAAATGGTTGCCCAAGAGAGTTAATACCTAGCATGCACAAAGATTTGAAATCCGAAATCAGCATAAAATTAAGCGGTGAATAATCTGTTTTGATGTAATGACAGTCTCATGCTTCCTCCCAATTGAAGTCTGCCCTATTCACTTGGTAACCCACTTGTATTGTTTCCCATCAGCAGTTGTCATTAGCGGATCTCTCTCGCCGAGCGACCTGCTTATACAATCTTGCAGCAAAGACCGACCCACCAAACTACCCGTCATACACCGCGTATACTTATTGCCAATTTGAGGGGCGGGGACCAAGCAATGGTCAGACATCAAGCAATTGTTTAACAACAGTTATCCAACACAATTTCCAAAGGAGAAGATGAAGCTGCATGTGCAGGCTAGGGGGAAAATGGTTTGTTTTTCAGTGTTTTTTGACTTATGGCTAAACTGTTGTATGTATAATTTAATTGCCCTGGCCATAAATCTTTGTTTTTGCTTGGCTCTGTCGATGCCAGATTGAGGCGTTATCAGGCTACTCATACCACATGCTCTTTCTTTTCGCATGGTAATTACGTTGTTGCCGCTAATGCCACATCTCATCATGACGCGGTGTTGTTTTCTGATGATGCCGCCAAAAGTTGGCAGTGGGGCGGCTCTGGGATTATGCAACCTAATCGCAGGGCAATGATTAAATTGGATAAAAGTTCAGGTGGGCTCGAGCAGGTGAATGAAAGAGTTGAGGTTGAGGTGCTTAGTTGTAATGGAATAAAAGCTAACTCAATTACAAACTCAGTCATTCTTGAGGTGTATATTTTTCCGTGCAATCACTTTAAGAAAGCCAAAGCCAATTCACAGAAAATCCAATGCCCTGTCATGCAGCTTCATCGTAAATCTCAGTTTTTCTTCATTCACAATTTTCTTTCTTTTTGAAGATGACTTTTCCCTACAAATTGCCTGGCTGGTGAAAACGTCAATCAGTCATCAATCAAGTGCCACAGCAATCAGCATCCCCGTCCCAAAAGCCACTGAACCCCAGTCCTCACAGGGCTAAACGTATATTTCTTTTTCAATTTCTATCTATCCGCATGAATGTGTTGTTCGGCATGTGTTCAACATGTCAATTTCGTGGTTTAGCGTACTCATTCCACATTTTCACGGCGCCTGTATGCAAAACGCTTTCGTTTTTAAACGCAGCCATCGATGGCTAACTCTTAATAGGCTGCGCATGCGCATTAACCCATTGATGGGCAGGTGGCTGTAGCTGTCACCAAATGCCACCGCAACCCACACGATTGATACCCAACTGTTTGCCACTGGGTTAAATGTGTCAAATGACTGACAATCAGAGTGTGGGTGTTATTCAAGGAAAATGACTAAACATTGCCAACAATCATTAATCACAGTAGTCAGTTGAGTTGAGTAAATAATTAAAGTTAAGACATGAATAAAAAAGGAAAACATTGTACGTTCCTTGAAGCTAAAACAAAATTCCCTATAAATCTTAAACTATTAATAGTGTAGCCTTTAACTTCTAGGTCATCTAAAATTTTGCTCACAAAATAAATAAACTCCAAAGTAATGACTCCTGAGGAATACCCATTTGGTTATCAAAACTTTCGTTAACAAAGTATACACAGATTTCTCCCAATCAAAATCCAGTTTTTGGGCTCGAAAAATAAAATAACATTTGTTAAAAACTAAAATATTTTCTTAGATAAACAAAGAAAGTCCCATTAAAGCAACAAATGGGGTTGGGCTCCCACAACCAACTCCAGTTCGTTACGTAAACACTACCACTCGATGGCTGTCAAATCAAATGAGCATTATGCTAATCGGAGAAGATACGCCACAAGATAGCCGGCAACAGGTAGAAGTCACTACATTCCACCGGATCGAAACCAGTTTATAGAAACATTTTTCACATGCCCACTGGGGCGTTGTGATCCATGATGTATCTGTCAGTTACATGACTCCGGCTGCCGGCTAATTTGTTAATAATTCATAATTGATTTCTCATCGCACATACCGGGTTGAGACGGGTATTACGAGAGTTAGCAGCTTTGGCCCGATGAGATACAAAATGAAAGCGAAATTTTGGAAATTTCTTTTCGGTTTCGTTTCGCAGTGAAAGTGATTTGCTTGATATTTAGTAAGCACTTAAGCCGTTTATGTTAATTAGAATTTAATAGACCTTCAAGCCCCAAGAAATGGTCTGCTAATTAATAGTCACCCAAAATCAGAGGCCGTAAATTCTTCAAATCCCCAGTTGCGCAACAGCCTGAGGAATCACACAATCTACCAGTTTTTCAATTTTTTTTTGTTTTTCGGTCATGTCAATGGCCAATGGCATCCAAGCTGGCCTCGTTTTCCGCGATTGCCTTTCGGATTTCCTGTCTGCCCCGCAGCCCGGCCAGAAATACAAAATGCATTTGCCTTCTTTTAGTATTGCACAGAATCTTTGTGTGTTCATTTTACCACTATTGGGTTTTTGCTTTTGACCACCACTTTTTGGTGATTCCACGGAGTTTCAAGGTTGTTTTCGGCCAGAAATGAGGATATTTTTCGGAGGCGATTAAAGACATGTTGTGCAATTTGTGTTCTGACCATAAAAAGAGCTGAACAAGTCAGATGTCAGTTTGAGCATCAATCTAATGGCTAATGAGACTCCATGTTTATGGGAATATCAGAGATTCTTGTAACTTGAAAGAACTAAAAGATGAATAAGTGGGGCAATTAAAACATATAAACCAAAAATTTGTAAAGCGCAAATTCTTATACTTATGTCTACAATTAGTTTCGTAAGTTCTTAAATTATGAGCACTGTAAGTAAATCAAAAGCAAATAATTTGACTATTTTAAAAGCCTATTGCATTTATCCAAACCTTTGAAACATTGCCACATCTTAGGACAACTATTTGAGGGCTTAAGAAACTAGGACAGATCGTTGTTTAAAATTGATTTATTGTTGAGCTGTCATCCACATTAAACGGCTCATTAAATTGTTTGTCTAACGTATCAGCGCAGATCATCTTGATCTCAGTTAAATCTAAGAAATCGTGCTCACATCATTTCCACATCGGACTCTCCGTTCAATAAAGTCCAGAACTGAGTGCCTCACCAACTTCGATCTTGTGGCACTTACCAGAACTGGTTAGATTGAGGGGAAACCTCTTGCATTCCCCCGGTTGACAGTTTCCACATGGCAGAAATGTGCATAATAAGCTTTTGATGCCAGTTGATGGCTTAGTTTTGTGTGGCGGCTGCGGCGGCTTCGTTTCGTTTTTATTTTTTTGAGAATTGGTCAATCCGTATATTTAGCAATTCCCTTTCACTTTTCCGGACTATCGAGAAATGACTGCAATTTGCAAAGATGGCCCAAAAAAAATAGGCGAACAAAATATTTCTGTGGATTTCCTAAAGGCATTTTAATTGCCAACAAAATAGCCAGCTGGCTAAGCAAATAAGTAATTAATTTGCGGCCGCACCAAAGAATGCCCAGCAACAATAGCCTCGATGGTAAAAGCAAAAAGTGAAATTTACATAAAATTGTGTAATTAACTGAGGTAAATAAGAAACTGCCTCAAGCGGGTCTTTGGCCAACACCTACAACTACCCAGAAAAGGGGCCATGCACATGAAAGCGAAAGAAGCCACCGGCCGAATAACAAAAACAGTCCAGCAACAATAAAAAGATTCCAGGCAAAGGCCGCCAGCGGATAAAACAACCGAATTGAAACAAAAACAAATATTATTTAACAATTTCTTTAAAGCCGCACAAGAGAAGGCAAAAAGAAACTTGGTCAGCTCGGTTACTCCCCGCGTAAGTATCCGCAGATTTTATCGCTGGAAGTACTTCACTCTCACAAAGCCAGGGAAAAGTGCTTGAAAAACTGTTTACAAACAAGGCAATTTGGCAGACATAGCACAAAATTGTACGAGCTTGCGGCTGATGAGATCCGAACGGTAAATTGGGTAATTACCAAATACGATATCAGAATTATTAAGTTTATAACAAATAGGATACGTTATTATAATACTTATGAATCTTGTTGGCAATGCAAAGTTATAGTTTTAAATAAAAATAGTTATGTGATTTTTATTTTGATATTTTAAAGTTATTGTTTAAACAAATAATATTTAAGGAATTTCAGAGTGTATTCGTATTAAGATTGTTAAACAAAAAATGCTTGAAATTAAACTAATTGACCAATTGGTTGGAAGTGGAAATTCAACCGACACGTTAACCATCTGCTTTAATATCTAAAGGATTCAATCAATTTGTTAGATCACTCTAAAATGTAATTATGCAACCTCTGTCATTTGATACTCCAACAACTGTTTTCCCCAGTTAATTTGAAACTTTGCATACATAAAGCACTTCAAGGATTGCATAATCGCTTGCAGCGAAACAAAATTGTGAGTAAATGCAATTGCAAGTATCTTGGCACTTCAAAACATGAGTGGCGTACAAATTTAATTAAATTGAATTGACGAAGCAGGCAGAAGAGTTTGCAAATTAGGCAAAGTGCCTATGGCAAAAGTTGCACAAACTCACTTCCTTTTGGAGTAATTTGTATCTGCATCTGCATCACCCACACAGCCCACACAGGTAGCTCAAATCCGCTGAATGCATCCGACGACACTCCACCAAAGTTGTGCATGGAAGCTCTGGTTATATGCTTAATTTGACACACTCTGACACTTTATACGAGCAGCAAAGATTTATAATATCATTAGCTTTGTCAGGGGCAGCATCTGCAGTTTCTTTTGCTGCGCCGTATCTGGCAAATACTAAACTAAACCATGCAAATGTAATTTAAATAAACCCACTTCTTTTTTTGTTTTGGTCTCGGTTTGGGGCATGAGAAAATTTGGGTTTATGGGCCATCTGTTTTTGGGTAATTAACATGTTCATATGGCTAATTGCACCGTGCTAACTTTTTATAATGCGCACTGACACAGTCTTATGATTTTCGGATGTCGGTCTTAATAGTAATAGACGAGATGAGAAATCATGGACAAACTTTAGCTAGAAAGTGAGAATCTCTGTGCAAAGGTAAGACTAAAATAGTATAAAAATAAATGTAAGTTTCTTTATTTTAGTGTATGCAGTAATGTATGATCATTCGTCACTATCAAACGCAACATCTTTTCGAACAAACAACTCAATTTTCAACCTCAACACACTTTCAATTTCAAAACCACAATTATCAGCCGACTAATATCATAACACAATTATTAGTTGGCAGACAATCGCCTGAAAGATCCTCATAATTATCAAAGGCAAATTGCGTGCCATTCCGACATAAAACACAAACCTCTAAAAATTATATTATTGTTGGAAATAAATTTAAATACGCTGCAATTTTTACTTTCCAATTCGATAAATTTGGCGCACGCAGCTAAGCGAATTGCGTGCCATATATCTTTGAATCTTTGCCATGGCCAAGATATATACTTCAGGTAGGAGGTAAGTTCGGCCCACATCGTCGAAGGCAGAGATTTATTTACTCGGCTTTGTTGATGGACAGTAGCGAACAATCAAGAGAACCGCCAAAAAATATTACAATTTCGATTTGAAGAAAGACTTTGGGTGTTTGCAAAAAGATTTGCATTTGTCAGACTTTGTTACTCAACTTTACCGTGAAATTTCATTGACAGCGCCGCCACACGCCCAAAAACCTTTCCACGCTCATCATCCGTCCAAAATTCAAGCCTTTGTTGAACTCATCATCAGGCCAAACTCTTGTAATTTTTGTGCAATTTTTCTCCCTTTTCAGCTGTCACTGGGCATTTCAATGGCGCCAATATAGCAAAGCACACAAAAGCCTTAAATGCGCGTATTTCTGCCAACTCTTGTCTTTCGCACTTGTATTTACTTTAGTGACTTCAGAGCCATCGAGTTGGGATTGTTTGTCCACTCATTTCCATGGGCTGTCACTTGAATTGAGCGCCTCGATTTCAATTGATGCAAAGTCTTAAGGTTTTGTCGCGTTTGTCTGTTTGAAATATATGGGTCAGGCCAGTGTTTGGTTAGATGGTCTATGGGCAAACACATCATTTATACTGGTTTTGACCTTGGCCAACAATTCAGGTTGGCGATTTGTGGGAAAAGTGTGAAGCTATAAGGTCGTGATGAGTTTTGGCTGCTTTGATATATACATATCCAGCTGCTTTGGTAATCTTCCGTCACTCAACTCCATCCAATTAGGCATTCCCCAGTCAACCTTCCACCCACTCTGCCACTCAAATACTCTAGACGCCTTAGATCTTTCTAGCGATCCAACTTAACGCTTGTCTAATGCTTTAATTACATATTAGCATTGCCTCAGATTCCCAGACATGCGATTGCATTTGGAGCCTCTAGACTCCTCCACACCATATCATTTGTCAAACGGGCCGCCATTGTTTTGCCGCGGAATGGAAAGGAATTAGACTTTTGATTTTCAGTTGGAATTCATAATTTATGGGTTAGCAGTGCGCCAGTTCCGAATGCTTTGGATTCGAAAGTGAAGTTCTTATAATTTTAATTACATTCAGCAGCCAGTGGAGGAACCAATTAAGTCGTTTTCTGATTATATCGGAGCAACTCGTTGGTCTTGACTCGCCAAATGCTCACATTGCTGGGTCTCGTGCCAGGTTTTTTGGTCACGCAAGCTCACTCATTCCGAGAAATGAGCACCATGCAAATTAAGTAGGGTTAAGAGGGGGTCGCCAGGTCTACGGTCTGTGGTCTATGGTCTGGCAAATGTTTCAAATTGCCACCGACTTGGAATAGGTTGGGAGTCGGTAAACTGTGTTGCTGCAGTTCGTGACAGTTTTTAGCAATTACCCGGATGGGCCGGAACGCGACAAAGTCGGCGACCCATCTGGCCGGTCTGCTGACCATTGTTTAGCGGTTAGTAACCCCACATGGAGTTCACCAGCAAGTCCCTCAGATTTCTAAAAAGTTTTCTGGGACTACCATCCCCCGCTTGATCGATGGCCGTTCAAAATTTCAACACCCCAGCCAACCCACACCCATATGGGGTTTTTCTTTTGTATGTATGGGTATGGGTATATGTTTCTTAAAAAAATCGAAAGCTCAATGCATTTCGCCTTGCATGCCCAATTGATGCACTCAAATGCGCAGCCCAAGCCAAAGCCGCAGTGAAATGAGAAGAAGAAAAAGTACCGAAAACCGCCGAGCAAATTAAAATTTATTATTTGCAACAAAACGAAACACTTTGGAGTGCCGAAGAGGCGAATGGAAAATGCAACTGAAATGCCAGCTATGGAACTTCTGCGGTGCACAAAATCACCGAAGCTTGCGAAAAGTGTTTTTCTTTTACTGCAACTCTTGTTCAGTTTTCTTCACTGCAAGCCGACAACGAACCGAAAGTGGCTGAAAGAGGCTGAATGCTGTGTGTTGTATATTGTACATTGTATATTGTATGTGGTATACTGTACTGTAGTGGGGTATTCGGTCTGTCGGTGGCGATAATGTGGCATGAAGCAGCCAACTGTAGTGCGAAGTGGGTTTGGGTTGCTGCAAGTTGGGGGCGTGTTTGAACCTGACAGGCACTAAGCAGAGTATCTCCTCCACGGGGGCTTTGACTTCCTGCCCAGGGAACCTTCAACAAAAAAAAGTTAAAAAGGTGCCCAAGGAGTTGCATCAGTGTAATGTATATATGACAACCTTGGCCCTATACGCCTTTAATTCAGTATCAATTTTAAAATAATTTAAAAACTCCTTAGTCTAATTTTTATAAAAATTTGTAGCTTAAAAATTACTGTGTGGACTTTTTATAGCTATTGCTTAATTTTTGTTGTACTTAAATGACTATAAAAATTCAAAATAGTTTAGTGAGCACTGCCAACACTAACATTAAAGCTTTAACTTTAACACTTTAATGTTTACAATCATTAACTTTTTTAAATTATAAGATAAAATCTCTATTAAATCACAAGCCCAAGGACATCCTTTTCGGCTTTCTTGACAATTCTTAAAGCGCCTTCAAACTTCAGTTTCCCATAACCTCTGACCTTTTGCTGCCCAACCCGAGAGATTTTTGCATGCGTACCAGAGAAAAGTAAAATTGTTATCTGCACTTTTCCATTACACCATGCCGAACCACAAAAATGTCATTAAATAATTTCGCTGCGCATTTGCAGAAATAAATAGCAAATCGATGGACAAGTTTTCGGTGCTTTGGGGCAAAGCAGGCGGCTCAAAAACTGTGACTCCCACCTCGCCAGGCGAAAAAAGGAAAACACACACACAAATTATGCAACTGGCAACTCTTCGTCGGCTTGCAACATCTCTGGCCAGACCAATCCCAACCAGTTGCAGATGCAGCAGCAGCAGTGGCTTGTTGAAAATCTTGTTTTGGAACTGTGAGGCAGCAACAAGCGCTTCTTCATTTTCGCGCAATAAACATTTCGTCCCAGACACAAAGGCCCAACAACCAACAACCAACAACCAACAGCCAGCAAACAGCAACAATAAGAAAAACGAAAGTGCAGCAACATTTTGCCATAACGGGTTGCCCAGTTTGAACCGCCGTTGGGCTTGGCTGTTGCTATTACTATTGCATTACGTGCGGTTGGTTCCTCGCCGAGGATCGTTTGACTTTTGTCCATATTTGCGTTGAGTTATGCACCGAAAGAAGATGCAGCTGAAAAAACCCGTTTCACGTGGCGTATGAGTAACGCGGAAGTTGACACTTGCTGCACTTGGTACTGTCGGTACTGTTGGTACTGCCTTGGCACAACGGCGGCGGTGGGTGAAAATTGCCTTGATATATTTACTGCACATACCTCGACTAATTGCGGCATTCGTCAGGCGACTTGCCTCCACCACCAATTCCTATTTGTCGTCGCATTTGCAATTAGGCAACAAAAAGCTATGACAAATCCCATTTTGTTTTCTGCACCTCTGATTTTTTGGTTGACCAAATCAAGCGACTTTTAATGACCCGGCAGAAGATGTGGCATCGTCATCCGGCCAGCCTGTCAATATCCGGCGATGAGTTATGTCGCCGAGCCCTTTTACTTTCTTTTCCCCCAATCTCGGACATCATTTTAATGATCCCCACAGCTGGCATGTGAAATTATTGCTTACAAGTAATACCATTTTTATTTTTCACTAAGCCAATTTCTGACGATCGTTTCCATGAAACTATGCGGAATCAAGCCTGCGGTTTACTGACCATGTTAATGGCTTAATAATTGAGAAGTTGGCTTGGGCAATGAGGAACTATAGAAAGCGGAAGATGCTCTGAGCCCCTATATACGAGAATCAGCGGGAGGTCTGCGATTCTTGGAAGAAATTTGCAATCAACTTTTACTTAACTTACGTTCTAATTTGCTTGTTAAGTGGGTCAAAGAACTAGAAAGACTAAGTTATTACAAAAGGAAAAGAATCGATGTATATAACGTATCTAGCGAATAATTGTCACTCAAGAAATACTATTTCTCAAGAAGTTGCAAGGTGAGAAACTATTATTTAGAAGATTTCATAATGCCGCTTATATCACCAGTTATTGCATTTTCAACATTTAATTTCCCGGCGGGTCTTTTTTCCATCCCCATTCAATCAGGCATGACACTTCGGTTTCATTCACTTTTCAGGCAATTTTCCTCTCATTCAAAACCGAAATTGATTTAATTCTCAATCAGTTCGAAACCAGTTGGGTGCAAAGCCAATCAAATTAAGCCAGACCAGAAATACACAAAATTAAAGAAATAAGGCTGACCCAATCGGACACTCGCTGTGTCCCGGTGTGATTAGCGTTCAATTATTTTATTTGTTTGTGGTTAGCAGCTGAAAGGCGATCTCAATGGGATTACTTTTGATGCGGTTCGGTTTAAAGTGGCGCCAGGCTAATGGCAACTCGTTACTTTCCTGAAGTGGGAAAAATTCGAGGTGCGATGATTGGGGCCCTGAGCCTGATTAGCTCTTGAGCACCGGCAAGTGCCCATCATCTTTCCCGTCTCTTTTTTTCGACCCGCTGACACTTTCCTGTTCTTTCACAAAAACAACTTTCATTTTTCAAGCTAAATCCATTAAGAGTTTGTCACCTCGCTACGCTCGGATACCGCAATATATTTCAGATAAATATGCAATCGAACAACAACATATTTATAAAGATCTCTCGATTGACCCACTTTCCTTGCCTTCAAAACGGACAGAACCCAGCTCGCGAAAAGAAATTACAAAGAAATGCGGCTTCTTGTTATGATTTTTGCTTTTTTTTTCTGCTGGCTGATGTTGTTGCGACAACAAAAGCCGCACCGAAAATGAACAGGTTGTAGGGCCTGTCACAAATATAAAATTATTGGCCGACGTAAGTCAATGTGAAATGTCTGTTGTATTTATTACTGGCTCGGGGCAAAATTTAATCGAAAATGATAAGCGGGTTATACCATGGGAAGTTTACTGTGGGCATTTATTAGTTGCTCAGGAAACCGTAAGAGTGAAGTTATACGATGAGCAGCAATTTGCCATCGATTTCTTAACAAGCCCAATTTATAGATACGTCAAATAGGTTTTTTAATGGTGTGTTGTATTGTTATGTTATTAATGGCATTAGGCTTGGAATTACAAAATAGGCTTTAAAGATAATCTTTAAACATGGTTTAATGGTAAACTCATTTTATAAACAAATAAAAATCGCTTTTTAATAGATTTTCATGATTGGTTAAAAATCTCTTTATTTGAAAGATTATAACATTTTTTTGTTCTACTTTTTTTTTACATTTTAGGTGATGTGAATTTAGCATCTAGAGTATACACATTTGCATCAACAAAAGTGAAAGCAAGGCAAAGGCAAGTAAAATAACATAAATATGTTCAATAAAATATAAAAAAACACACTCAAAATAAAACAACAATTTGGCAGGCCCAGAAAAACATGTTCGAAGACAGCAATTGGTGGTTTCTGCCGGGATACCGAATTCAGTTTGTAAGTGAACCATGGAACTGCGGATGGACGATGGACTACGGACGATGGGCAACAGATGGTACTGAGTAGTTGACTGCCCGGCTGCCAAGTTTACACGACACAAAGACACAACTGCAAACGCTACGTGAGGCAATATATACAAAATAATAAAAGTTCAAATTAAGCAATAGCAAAAACAGAAAAGAAATTGCACAGCCGCTAAAAAGCCGCCGAATCCCGAAAAACAACAAAAGTCTCTTAAGACAGCCACTGCAACTTTTAACATCGACCAGTTCCTGTTCATTGCCAGACAAAAGGAAGATGATGATACTTTTTTCTTCTGCAAGTTTTGTTGCTTGGCCAAAAATACAAAACAAAAAAATGGTTAAGATGCAATCGCAGGCCATTGCCACAGCTTATGTCAATAGTGAGAGATGATGTTGGCAAAAATCTGGTTCGAACACGTTTTTCTTACGTTATGGGAAAAATTGTGCAAGTTGCCGAAAAGGAAATTACCAAGTTGACCGATGCACGAAAAGGTTAAGGACAAAGCGAAGCGAGAGATATACACCATATTGTTTGGATCATAAAGGAAAATAACTTAAGGAACTTCGTTTGTTCGCTAATTGACTGCACTCATATTCCCTAACACGTTGCGATGATCAGGGTCTTTTAATCTGTCTGTCCACTCATCCATAATCCCATATCAAAACATTGCCCGCAGCTCAACAACATCAAAATAAATCTGTTTTACGTAATCCAAACCTCAATTATAGGCATTAGTTCATCAAAAAAAAAAAGATTAAACAACAAAAAAAGAGGAGACTGATTTCACATCATAAATTGTTGTGGCTTTTGGCCAAATTTTTTTGGGTTTTAGCCGTGAAAGTGAAAACTATAACAGCGGATGGCAAACATGATCAGATTACATCAACATAGAAAAATCACTGATTTTGGTTAAGGTAATCAATTATCTAACAGACCTTAAACTTGGGACGCAATCAAGAGAAGTTCTCAGAAAAAGCAGATGACTTGACTACATTTTTTCTTATTAGTTTCAACACAGCTTGTGAGATTGGTTTTCTTTTCGATATTTGGTTTCCTGACCACTCCAAGCGAACAGGTTTATAATCTACAAGCTGACTGCCTTCAACGATGTCCCATGACTTTACGGCTTTTACTCTGCCTTTGCATCTTCATTTAATCGAGTCCCCCACCCCCGACTGAGCGAAAGATAAAAATATTTTTGTGAAAAGGGAAAGTTCATTGAGGCGTTGAAAATCGTTTTCGTTTTCAGTTGCGGTCCTAAATGTTTCAACAATTAATATTGAAATTTCAAAACAAATATTTAAATAATTGAATTTTTAAATAGGCAGTCCGTGAACTCCAACTGTGATCGCTGGGGGGTTATCTTGTTGGTAGAAAGTCTTATGCAAGTCTGGGGAATCTCTGTGATAGGCGCTCCGAAAATATCTGGCTCTTTGACATATTTATGCGAGTACTACCCAACGTATGGCAACTTTCTTTGGCCGCGACTCGAAAAGATCTAAAAACTGTGTCAATTTGGTCGGGACAAACGAAGAGTCCACAAAGCTAAATTTAACAATGAATATTTGCATATCGTTCAATGGGAATGCAAATTAAGTGATAAATATTTTTTCTTAATTTTTATGATTATTTGGCACATATTTGGATTGACTTTTATGAGGCATTGCCTTTGTTTAGTGGAATGTGGAACACCGGAGATAAAGTTTACAAGATTTGGCATATTGAATTGCTACAATCAAATGTTGAAATGAAAAACTATTTTATATTTTTTTCAGGCCAATTTAGCTTTCAAACTTACCCCATTGTGAAGCCCTGCATTGAGTGGTGGTATAAATCCTTGTGCATTCGCAGTGACCACCCACAGGCACAAAGTGCCCCACAATGCCAACGAGACTCTCATGATTCACTCGGGAGTTCCAGATACGATATTTATTCAACTGTTATTGTTTTCTCAATCAATCCGATATCAATGCACTATTTTCTTACGAAACAGACGCGATACCGCTGGAATTGGTCCAGAAAAAATGGGAGCGCGCGAAAAAATGTCAGTTATGCGACGCGAAATAACAACACTTAATCCAAATCAACTTTGGCCCAAGTTATTTTCGTTACGTTTTCTATTTGCTTTATGCAAATGATGCAGTTGCTGTTTTCTTCGCTCTCGGTTTTAAAATTCCGTTAACGTTTTCAGCCGCGTTGTGAACTTCTCAAGTGACTGCCAATGGTTGCAGCCGCAGACACGACTTGCCTGGTAAAAGTTCGAAGCTTAACTGAAGATCATTAAACGTTTGGTAACAATTTAAGCCAAGCTCACCGCGAAGATGCCAAAAAGCCATCGCAGTGGCAACGAAGACGCCAGCAACATGTTGCCGAAGTCAAAGAGTTGGCAATCTGGCCGAAGAGAAAGCAAAGAGCATGGTTTTGTGGCCGAAAGAGAAAGTGTTGCCGGGCTTTGGCTGGCAACATGAGGAAATGTCTTGCATCTGCTTATCAATTTAGCGTGAATCACTGGCTTATCGAACCCAGAAATGGCATACCCGAAACTGATGTCTCCGATAGCCAACAAATGTTGGCCCAGAGATTGTGGCCACAGCCACGTAGCAGACTCGGAAGTGGCGATAAGAAGTCGGATCGGGGGCGTCCGAGAATTTGATCAGCAACCAACAATATTTTATTGCATTGCATCGTTTAAGCCAAAAACGTGTGAATTTGAGCTCTGGCCATGTAACTACAGTAGCCGGCCATGTTCAAGCTCATAACCGTATTTATTATCGATGTTTATGGACAAACAACGCGCCTGTAGACTGATTCATATGTTTACGATCCGAGCATGATTAATGCTGAGCTGGAAGTTCGGTTGAGTAATTTGTTTGGCGATTCCCGCTGAGATCGCATAAAGAGATCCACTGAACAGCACATTGCCACTTACATCATAGCCACTTGGCTGTGAATCTACACATTACGCTTGATTTGATAACTTAATAGAAGGCACCACGTGAGTTGCTCGCCGGGATCATCGGATTAAGGGAATACATTTATTATTGGTAAACTTAAAAATTGTGTTCATTAGATTACTTTGATAGACTGTTAGTTCTCCCGGAACTATAAAAAAAAGAAGGACAGCTTAAAAGGTCGAATGTTTGTATCAAAAAACACTGATTGGTCTATTAACGTTTTGTAATTTTAATCAATAAAATAAAAACAGCCGAATAAAAGATAAACAATTTCAAGCTTCTTAGAAACTAAAAAAAAAGATATATTTTAATTTGTTTTTACTTTTTGTTTTATTTTCTTTTTTTTACCTTTTTTCCCACATTTCTGTTTGCGTTAGTTTAATTATTAAATTCATTTCCTTTTTTAAAACAGTTCAATAGAAAAACGCATTTAAGTCAGAAAAGCAACAAGACCGATCAACAAATTATTGCATTTCCAGCTTTCCAACCAATTATTTCCAGATCCCAAGCAATTTGGTTCCGACTTATCAACTAATCCATCAATCAACTCCCCAAACAAGCATTTCATCGCCGGGTTTCATAAATAACTTTTCACTTTCCGGACGCCCAGGAAAACAAAGTGCAATCCCAAGGCCAATTATCTGGGCCCCAAATGCAATTCTAAGAGACCGACCACAGGTACTTTTAAGTGGCGATTGCATAAGTGGCAAGCGCCAGAGAGCTTATCAGGATTGGCTTCTTTGTTCCATTCGAAACACAATGATAATGACCCGTGATGATACTAAAGATCGGGCCCCTCCGTTGTCCAAGTCATCTCTCCTCGGGTCTTTTGTAATGCGTGCCTAAATTTTATTTGATGACTTTCTTTGTTGACCAATCGGGCTGTGAGAAAAGTATTTGCGCAATCACCAGAAATCGGTGGAAAATATTTTCACCTGTTGCTCGATTAAATTGTTTGCACGATCCGTAGAAAATATTAGCAGGAAGTTAACCCCTTGTCAAATCCATTTCTAATTACCTGATTTTAATTTCTTTCTACTTATTTCTTGGCCATTTCTGTCTTTCTCTCTGTATATCCCGCAGCGTGCTCGTGTTTTTGTAATTACTTCCCACACACGGCGAAAACTGTGAGTTATAATTGCCAATTTCGCTTGTTTACTAATGATTTCCCATTAAATTTTGACTAGCAGGGTCAGAGAGAGGGCAAAAAAACAAAGTATTCAGTGGCAGTTGGGATCTTGTCTTCAATCAATTACAAGCAACAGAAGGTGGTTCCACAAATGAGTTGTGACTGCAATTGAATAATTTTTTATGAAATCACTTAAATATATAATTTTATTTTTGAAAACAGTGTCCCAAGGGTGTGTATAATTGCTACAGCCTTGCCTTCGTTGTATCCTAAACTACTAAGCTGACCTCTGGCAAAGACATTTATGGTTTTTGCAAATAAGTTTTATGCCAGAAAATAAACATATATTCCGTTGGCAGGGGAGCGGCCCTCTTATAAAAACAAACAGATTTCGATGAATCAGATTTACATGAAGAAAAACTAGTAGATTTTGTAAAAAAGAATAGTTCTTCGACGTTAAAAAATTACAATACAACATAAACAATTTGCACTTTCAAAGTCTAGTTAACGATCTTGATGAATGGGTAACCAATGGACAGTTCATATATCTGCCCGAGATTAACAAAAAACAAAAGCCATTGCCAGACGGACGAACAACAAAAACTGAAACACCGAAAAAAGACTAAATGCTTTACAAATACGCAACAACAAAACGCTCGAGGGGAAAGACTTTCACCTTGCGACGAATGATCGAAAGAAAGAAGGAAAGAAATGTATGGGACTGAAAAATAAAAAAAAACACCAAGAAAAGGCAGAAGCGGCCTTCGAGACAGATGCCATGGACCCGAAACCGAAACCGAAAAACCAACCCAAACCCGACCTGCAGTGGCCTCACCTGGCAACAACAAGTGGGCAACCCGACGATCATGACTATGATCATGATCATGATCATCGGGAGGCGCTGAAGAAGCCACCATCGTACGTCAATAAACCTTTGACTCAATGACGCTTTAAGGCCGGTGCTTATCACTCGATACCAGACCCTCAAAGGGAACTGTAGTTGGTGTGAACGATCGTGAGCTGGCAACTTTTACTTTTCATTCAAGAATCGGACAGATTAAGTCATATGGCTGATCCGCTGCGCGTACTTAGAATTCTACTTTCCCCGAAATCTACTGCCTTGTGTACCCCCACGCAGACACTTGGGAATCAAAAGTGAAAACAAAACGTTGGGCACATTTGAAGCTTGTCAAGTTTGGGACAGGCACAAGATCTTCAGTCCATTACAGTCGGCTGTCCAAATCTTCAACTCATTTAGGATAATCATCGACTATTTATTAAGCAACTATTGACACCATCAACTAATGGCTTAAACAGATACAGTTATTAGTATAGGGCCCTATTTAAGCGCAGGCACAATCAATCTACAAAATATACAAATATTAACAGCACAACAAAATTGGCAACTTTGTTGTTTTTTCCTTTTAGACGCTGTCGGAAATTGCATAATTCACGCAAAACGACCAAAGATTCGATGAATTAATAACAAAAACTAAATGATTGCGAAGCCCCTCGCGGCAATCTCAAATGGTGTCACGTGAAATAATTATGCCCAACACCGAAATTGAGAAAGACGAAGAGGCCGAGCTGAGAAAATTAGATTAAATAAAAAGTCAATAACTTTTGATAACCTGTAACCACTTCCGCTCGAGATAATGGAAGATATATTTGAAGGTTTGAAAACGAATCATACTATCAACAAGGTCTATATGAGAGATATTTGAACTAGATTGAAAAATCGTAGCTTTACTGTTTTTTTTTTAGGTATTTATTAAACAAAAACCTTTTCAAAACCAATCAAAAATGCAGTACTAAAAAAGGAACGAGACAAGATGTGATGTGTTTAAAATTAACAAATAAATTAAGTATAAAGCTAGCGCACTCTAGCGCTCAAGCCAGCTCATCTTGAATAATGCCAAAAATGAATATGCCTAAAAGTAGGCAGTATTAAATGCTTTTAACAAACCACTCTCTTCAGTGCTTACTAAAAATAAAACAATAACATTATTTTGAGTACATAGTTTTTTTATTTATTTTATTTTTTTGCTGTAATTCTTGTAATTGTAATTGATTACATGTTTTTTTTCTTGATCTATACAATTAATATGCTTCATTAATTTAAAATTGATATATCTGTACGTATATTTTAATAATTATAAGTTCATCATTGTTTTTGTTTTCAATTAATACTAAACGTTAAATTCGAACACACTTTGTAAAACAAGTTTTGCAATTGGATTTGTTTTTGTTTCGGTCAAAAATCATAATAAAACACATAAAGAAAGTATCAGATACAATTAAGACGAGTGGCAGAGAAAACATTTATAAATAATACGAAACAAGCTCAAAAGGATCGCAGCTGTGTATATAGGCTTAGGTATTGTAGTCCTATGTGATATATATTCAAAAGTCATGAGCAAAAATTGCAATTTGTGTACAGTGGTATCTAAACTTACAGGATTACAGGTTACAAACTTCGTTCAAATTACAGTCTGGATTCGGTAAGCAATCTTACCCAGCTCAAGTTCCTACTAAACTGTTTGCCGTCTTGTTGTTTTCTTTTTTTCTAGTACACAAACTTTAAATTTGAATAAAACATTATTTATTTGATTTGTTTTTGCCTCCACTAATACGGTTTACATAGATGTGGCGCACTACAATTATTGTATATTGGGTTGGTTTATTAATCGGTTGTGATATTGGCCATATTTCGTTTCTCTATCCGTCTAGATTTAATAGATTTATAGTTTATTAAATATATATGTGTTTTCATTAAATTATGACATGTATTCCGTGTGGATAGGGCTGATGGGTGTGATAGTTCATTTATTTCCATGCGGACTACAAACTTATCTTGCATTGGTAGACTAAAGAGTTGATTTGCTTCAGTGTGATGTATGATGTTGGCCATCGAACCTCCAAGATCTTAGACTACGAATACAATTACAGTTAAGATATAGTAATAGATACATTTCTGTTTCGCATATGTAACTAATAACAGCCTTGATACTGTTGCAAAAGACATGGAAGCTGTATGAAATTGTTACAGACTCGAGTCGTAACCGTATAACTATTAATATGTGTGTATCTTTGAGTTTGGGTGAGTGTGGGATGCGTTGGGTGAATCGTTACAAATGTTATCTACAACTATGTTTAGTATATGCCATATCTAATAGACTATATCTAGGTTATCTT